GCTTTGCCCCGGGTTCCGCTTTGCCCCGGGTTCCCCCCAGAAAGATTGGTGGACTGTTACTAGTGTTGTCAATCGGTTGTAATTTCGTAATCGATCATCGGTTGGACCCAAGTAACCGATGATCGGTTACATTCGGTTACTCGGAGTGTTGAATGCCTGCGTGTGCGTAACATCGTGTGCATGTACGTGTGTGCATGTATACACGTGCTTGTTTAGCCAGCGTATAAAATCCCTAGTGTGTCCTAGGCTTTAGCCCCTCAACAGGAAGTAACTGCGGCGAATGTCGGGTGATTCCCGAACTAAAATAGCGATGATATCTCTGATTCTCATCAGTTTTCCAAGTTTTCTTGTTCAAGTTTTACATTTATTTCGATTTTTTTTTTTTTTTTTTCTGATGAAATCGATTATGAATTTTGATAACCAAGCGCTGGGTTCGAGCCACTGTTCAACCGATGATCGAGTATAATCGATGATCGTGACATCACTAAGCGCTTGGTTCGAGCCACTGTTCAACCGATGATCGAGTATAATCGATGATCGTGACATCACTAACTGTTACGCTGTGGCGGAGGTTTGCTATCTCTGTCTGATTGCTCTTGTTGCTGATGCCCTGTATTGTTGCCGGTTACAGGTTCTATGACCTCATGTTGGAACTGACCGCAGATAATGAGAACTGCATCACTGACCTTGACTCCGACCTCTACTCAGGACCGATCACGGTAAGCCAGAGAACTGCTGCTATGAGGTGGCATACGCGTGCGTAGTGACAAGGCCTAAGATAAAATATTGCTTGTTTCCCCTTTACCGACCGACTCGCCAAAACGCCGCTACTCGACACATTTTATTGGCCGGTTAAAACAAAACAATAATGATTTCGTTTTGCCAAAAAAATAAATCAAATTCGTTCCGCAAAAACATATACACAAAAAAGAATATACAATATACATACACACATCTTGTCAAAACAAAATAAAAAAGATTTTTCACCTACCTACCTACTCGGTACCCTGAGAGGCGGTGTTTACACAGCCCGTAGCTAGGGGGCCTGGTCGGGCGGCCACAATTTTCTGTGCCGCTCAGGTGGCCCCCCGCCCACTGAAAATCATGTTTATAAAAAAAAAATAATCAAAACAATTCCTTTAAACATATAATAAAAAAAAGTTGTATATTGTGTCCCCCCCCGAAAAGTTGTAAGGCCCCCCCAGTGCCCCCCCACTGAAAAAATCCTTCAGCTACAGCCACTGTGTTTACACTACCGACTTTGTGTGTTTGGCGAATTGGGTGAATTGGACCATCCTTCCCAACTATACAACCGAGACAATCGCAGTGCTAAGCGCCGCAAAGAGCTTTGCGCAAACCAACGATCGATAGCAACTTAGTTGGGATATAGAACACGTTCTATTTCGCCAACTCGGAGTTGCGCGATTGGGTAAGTTGCGTCCAACTTCGTCAATTCGCCAACGATAAAGTGGTAGTGTAAACCCAGCTTAAATCACAGGCGCCCTTGAGCGTTAGATTCTGTACATTAGATCGTTTAACATTGACTACGTCACGGAAAATTTTCATATGGTGTTATTGTAAAATTTGCCGTTGCCTTTTTTGTTGCATTGAAAAATTAAGTACTAACGGACTAAATGTATCCTCAAAATTCTACACCTGATAAGGATTGTTTCTCGTAACTTGGTTAAAAATCCAAAAAACCTGGGCGATTTCGATATAATTATTACGACATTAAATGCTTGCTATTGGGCACTATGTACAGTCAACGAGTTGATGTTCCACAGTCAAACGGAATACCAAAATAAAAAAGCGTTATAATGCAGCAATTAACCATAAAAAAAAATGAACCAGAACACTATACGATTTTGCTGAAAAAAGTTGGACTCATTTTTTTTTACTGTTACTGTGTTTACGGTGACGTGACACTTTAAGCGTCTCAGTGACCACTGCCAGGTCGTGTGTAGGCGTATGTATGTTAGACTATGGTGTGGGGGACAGCAGCCAAGGTGTGTCAAATGACTTCAGCCCATCCATCATGGACATGGTGCAACAGTCTACAGGCACTATGGACAACCTAAAGCGGCGCTCCACAATAAGCTGCAGTAAATTTTACTCAAGTAAAATGATCGCATGCGTCAAGAATACTCAACGAAATCCGCCGCCACCACGCGGTATTTTTTTTTACACATTGGTCAAAATACTCAGCCGGAAATGCCGCCTGCCACACGTGAGTAAATTTGTATGATGCATTCATCTCTTACTTGAGTAAAATTACTCACCCGTGGTGCGGCCGAGTGCTTAAGCGGATGCTATGCATCAGAGTCAGTGTAAAGCTATATCGGAAAGTCCCTCCGCCATATTGAAGATCAGATAACAGGGGTTGATAAGTTGCTATATATAACATAGTGGACTGTCTAGGGTTTTTTGATCTATAATTCTCGATCACTACACCTCGTACTTGCACAATCACAGGTGCCGTTTCTGTTTACAGAACATTTACAAATATGATTTGTGGTATAATGGGTATATTTGCCAATGTTTGTGTTAATGCAAAAACGAAAAACGCACGGTGTTTACAGTAATCGTGTACTTGTCCGTTAGCGCCGCCGCGGAGCGCCATTTTATCCCCTGTTTCTATGACCTAAACACACAGCTGGACTTCGAGTATCACTTATAAAAGCAAATTGAGCACTCTGAGGGCAGGACGGTCCGCGGAACGACACTGCGTTGTAGAACAAGTGAACACTCACAGATGTATGCTAGCGGCATACTCCCCGTGCCAAAGGGATCTGCAGTTTTGGCGATTCCCCTTGCCTACGGTGACGCTGGCCTGCAAATGAAATGAGGAAAACAATAAGGCATGGGAACTCCACACTGTGCGACGGGGTGTGCATGGAGAGGTGACCGTGAAGGTGGTTGAAAAGCATGGAAAGGCAAGAGGCAAGGACATGAGCAGGAGGGAAGCAAGAGGAAGAATGTTAGGAACTAGGAGAGGATGAAGAGAAAATGGAAGGATGCGTGGAACAGTTAGGAAAGGAAAATGAGGTGCAGAAGAGGGGTGTGAGGCGATGGGTGGAAGAGAGGGAGAGTGTGAGGGAGGGTGTGAGGGAGGGGTGGTGAGGGGGTGTGGCTGTGAGGAAGAAGGCTGCGAGGTGGGATGGAGGTAAGAAGAGACGGAAACCAGCTGGAGCTTTTGCTACAGCAAGCGGACAAAAAAGATAAATAAGGGAGGTTAAATAAGGACACTCTAAAAACGGGCAAATTTATTAGCATGAGAAATTATGTTTCTGTGCGATCGAAGCACTTTCATAAGAGATAGAGTATGGTTGTGAAAATGCCTAGTATGATAGAAGGAAGTGAGGAGCAGGGGAACGTTAGGCAGATGGTATGAGAACAGATGCGTGTGGCGAGCAGGAGGGACAGTAGGCGAGATGGTAGAGGAACAGATGGCTGTGGGAGCAAGCAGGAAACATGGATAGCTGCATAAAGACAGGAGGTTGGAGCAAGTGGAGCAACTGAATGGAATAGAAGCTAGAGACGTCTGTATGACGTTGGCATAATGCAGACCTGCCGACCTGTGATTCATGAAATAGTATAGGCTTTTCTTTTCTTGCAGCAGGCGGGCGCCATTTTTTGTATGATTTATTGCGCGCATGAATGAATGGGATAACACTATGATCACAGCTGAGACAACGTGAACGCCGTGATCCAATATTGGCTGGCCGCCACAATCGCCAGTATTATTTTCTCGGCGTCACAATGTGAAACACATTAATTTTCAAGTCGTAAAAAATCGTAAGTTTTTCAGTTTGATCCTTACAGACTGATGAACGGATGGACCAGTAGCTGGGTGGCTGTAGCTCGTAGCTCCGGGTCTGGTTCAAAGCACCTGCAACACATCGACTCATCATCAAAACTTATTACATGCATTTCGACCCTGAAAAACATATGTTCTACCAAATATGGTGAAAATAGATTTTTAGGATCTCATGTAGATGACCCCAAGGAACAAAAAAAACATGAATGATAACGATTGCAATTT